ATGTTATATATATAGGGTTGACTTCTGCTGCTTTTATTTTTTTTCTGTTTTTCTGTTTTTTTTTTTTTTTTTGTTTTTTTCCTATTAAAACGTCCCCGGCATTGCAGTTAAATTAGATTAAGCAGTCATGCACATGTCTTCCCTTCTTCCCGGTCCCAGCGATATCTTACCTTTAATTTTCCTGCCCTCTGGAGCGTCAGTTGCGAGGCCCTTGGATTCTAGGATGGGGTCAAGCAGCAGGATCTTACATGGTTTTGGTGGGACAGTGACATCGGTTTTTGCTGTAGCTGTGGAGGGGGACAAGGATTCTCGATAAAAGCCTTTAAAGCAGGGAGTTTGGGGAATCCTTAGATGCGTTTGTGAGCAAAAATATTGTTGTTTCCAGAAGTTATGAAAGTTTTTTGGGGAAAAAATAAAATAATTTTGATGAAGTGCTTTGTTATTTAAAAAATAAACATTCTTAAAAAAAATAATAAATATTATCCTAAGATATAGCTTATTAAAGAATTCTTTGATTTGTATATGCTTATAACTTTTGAAAGACCAATTTGTTTTAACTTTCAATAATATGCTCACATTTATTATTCCAATTGTAATTTACCTTAGAAAAAATTAAGAAAATAAGAATTTTAATGAAAATGTACAGTTTAGACAAGCAATTTTAGTAATTTGATAATGTTGCCATCTAAGCGATGTGTTTTTGTGTTACAAATTTTGAATACTTTAAAGAGCTAACATTGAGTTAAATTGCGGATAAATGGAATTGAAATTATGTTGCCTTGGGTTGTTTGTCGGTATAAATTGAAGTGACTCGTATCTGATGAAACCTTTGCGCTCCCTTCAGCTGCGATATATCCTCCTGCCCCGAATGATGCTGCTCTGGCCGCTTGCAGTTGCAACTGCGTTGGCTAACTGGCCTTGGCAACTGCCGCGATATCCTGATGCTGCATATCCCGATGCAGAGCGGCCAACAGGTAGCGATCGTTGAACCTGTTCCTGTGGAAACCCCAACCCTCGGCTTTAATGGGCCAGGCGGGCCAACAGGTGCATCAAAGCAGCGAGGCAGGACTCGAGGATCCTTGCACGCGCTGCATCCCTGCCACACATGATCGCAACTCGTAAATAAATGAAACCGAGGGGCACGTGCCGCTCAATGTGCAAGGATCTCCCCCTTTGGCAATTCTATCTGCAACTGCAACGTCATTGTCCTCCTGCAGGATCCGTTTCTTATTCTTTTTATTTTTGTTTTTCCTTTTCTGTTCCTCTTCCCTTTTTCCGATCATCACGATGGTGATTATGATGATGATGCGGTACTACCTGTTCTTGGTAGTCGATCCCCCTCCTTTCCCAAACACTCCTTGTGTTCCAATGTCCCAATGCAAGCTGCATTTCTGCGGTTTCTTGGCTCGTGCCTGGCCTCAAAAACAATCCAACTTTGGCTCCAATTTGGGTCAACACTGGGGGAAAAACAAATACCTTTTTCAATTTAAGAAAAAAAACCGGTTTATAACCGCTTAGGACAATTCTTTTTTATTAAACAAAAAAAAATCCCACATTACTACTTTTTTATTTTATGGAATAACAAAAAGGAGCTATCTTGAATATAAATAAAATAATAATACATAGCTTAATATTAATCAATATGTTTCTATAAAAATATGTAACATATATTTTTGTTTTTACATTATTATATTTTGTTGACCTATCTGATCAATAACTTTAGAGCTCAATATATTTAACATAAATCATTAAAACATATAGTGATTTTCGCTGTGCAAGGACAGCTGAGATCGGGCTTTATAATTAACTGGACGATCGGCTTGACCGCAGCATCCCTCGAAAAAAGACAGCTGAAATTGTGTGGCTGTCTGGCTCCACTTCATCATCGCCTCGTGCCAATGGCCCAATTAGGCAACCAATTATGACTAAATAGGCGCACCTTTCTCCAACCCTCGTGGGTCGAGTGTTTTATGGGCACTTCGAATCGGAGGGTTCCAGCACGCCCACAATCGGACAAATCATTGCGTAACTAGGTCTCCGCTCCTCTCCATTCCTTCGGTCGGGGTGGAAAAAAAAGGATCAGCCAAAACATCTGTCCGTGCAATCTGTTGTTGTCTCACACCTTTAAAAAAAAGGTTGGGGTCACTAAAGCAGGGCAAAAAAGAGTGGGAAGTGAGATAATCACTGAAAGAAATTAGATCACACATGATTTAATACGAACCAGACCCTTTTTTAAATGGTTTTGTTTCTGTTTCTTATTAGAGCCATCTTTATAATAGACTTCCAAAGATCTTTGTAAATCAGTAATTAGAGCTTTTGAAATAATCAAGAGAAATAGATTGAAAGATCATAAATTATTTAATATATTTCAAATCTAGTTTAAGTTGTATATAAATGCCACATTTATTTTGAACCATCATTTTTATAATTTTCAACATGAGGTAAAAACATATATTTATTAAAATTTACTCAAAACCATCAATTTTTGTTCTTATTCTAATTTATTTTTTTTACATACATTGTCTAATTTAAAACCCTAAATTTGGTACTTAATTTTGTTATGTGTGCTACATTTAATTTGATGAGTTCATAAGGGCGGGGAAAAGTGAGTTAGAAAGGACTGACCGATAAGTGTCCATAAATCAGTGGACACACATCTGCTATTTTCCTACCATCTCCAAAGATCAAATTAATGTTGCAGACAATTTTATTTACAATTTTATTTAAAGTAATATCAGAAACATTAAACAATGTGGCAAATGTCGCTTGATATCAATAACCCCCAAAGAAAACAAGGGAAAACATCCCCTTCCAATGAAAACGAAGAGTCGTGAGAAAAGTAAAGCAGATCGGGAAAACGAAAAAAGTCACAATCGAAATAAAAACTTTATGAATACCAAAAAAGAGCTAAACAGATCTGGTCTTAAAGAGTACTGAGTTTTAGTTTAATAGTTTGACTTACAACTTGCTCTTAACAAATTAAGTGTTTAAAATATATTTATGTTCAGCCCTAGTTAAGCTAAACCACCTATGCATTTGTTGTATTAATTTTACTTGTACTGAAAACTTTGACGTCTCCAGAGAATCGCATTTACGCACATGATATTTTTACCTACATGTGCCTATAAGTTTGCATGTTTGCCTCATATACATAGTTTAGATACAAGAGATTAGAGAGCCCTTCATCCCCGTGTGCTACGTGTTTTATGACCATCGTTTGCAGTATCCCCAGATCCCCAAACTGCCGCACGATGACTTGCTAAAAGCGGACATTGTTGATTCGTCCGGAGTTTCAGAGTGAATCGCTCCTGGGGTGGTGACACCCGAGTCCACCTCCCGGCCACACCCACCATATCATACTCCTACTCCTACTCCTACTCCATCCTGGCATGTCACACACCCCCTGACCCCCAATGGGTCGCAACTTTCTACTCAATTCTCCCTCGACAAGTCCTGTGTGCTGTGTGCGCGCACGCTTTTTATTTGCCCAGCAAACAACACACAAATGAACAGCGGCAAGTTGCCAACCTTCCACTTTTCCCAGTGGGCGGAAGCCAGACCATCGCGGGTAATCTTCTGTGCGAGTGTGGGTTTTTGTATCTTGTGGATACTTTCGTCGGGCGCCAGTTGCACGAATATATCCATCGCATATAGTATATGTATGTATGTGTGTTTACGAACACAGCTGCCTGGCTGCTGCTGCTGGACACGGAAATATCGATCCGAAATATCGCCGTGAGTCACTGTGAATGTTCACAATTCGGCACTGTGAGAAATTTATATATAAAAGTTGGATTTTGTATATTTTATTTATGTGTCAATAGATGCTTCTGCTTTTATACGTTTAAATATTTCATCATACATAAATATCCTTAAGGAAAATTTGAAATAGTGGCAAGAAAAACTAGTCTTAAATCTTTTTTCTAAAGCGCATTGTTTTCTTAAAAAAAATGGACAGAATAAATAATTTTAGTTTCGTGACAAATATAAGGTAAATATTTCATTTAACTACATGTAACATTTTTATAAACATTTCTTTATAATCTTCGAATATTTAAGACTTTTAATCTTGAAAAATATCTTTTGCCAAAAACAAAAATAAATAGTGTTTAGCTTTCTTTAAAAGTACCTTTTTTTTCCGAGTTTTTTTGTAGGGCAGTGTGGGTTGAAGGTGGCATGATTTGAATTCCGCTTAGAGTGCGCCATCTAGTGGCGGTAGACACAAAACAGGCCTTGGCTGGTCCGCAACCCTTTTCTCCGGTCCTTTTCCCCCGGAACTCTTCGGCCTGTGCAGTGAGGCATATATCCGGAGAACTTGCGCAGCGTTTCTCGATGTTCGCTTCTCCTCTCGGGGGTGATTTCAACTTTGGCCAGGACAAAACGGCCCAACAGAGGAGGCTTTTACACTTGCCGAAATAGGGGGAATGATTCTCAAAATGGAAAAAATAGAATGATTGAGCTTCCGAAATTCTTTGTATTTTCTAAAGTTCAAAAATACTTTAAGCTTTGAATTATTTTAAGATTTATAAACCGTTTTATCGCTTTAATTTCGTGAAAGTAAAAAAAAACTTTTAACAAAGCGTAAAGCGAATAATTGGATACAAATGTGTTAATATTAGATGTCAGCTTGAGCATTTATGTTTTATATATAGGAGCTTTCCATATCAGTTCTTTTTCCTACAACTTTTCTACATTTTATTTCAGCAGATTCTCAAAGTGCAGCATACAGTATTCAGGGGGGCGACAGATTCAGGTTACACACCTGTTCTTTTCACTTCTGACCTGTCCTGCGGCCCATTCCGCATACCATTCACCCCCCATCTTTCTCGGAAATCAATAAAACCCAATGTGACTCCCACCAAATAAGTATTTTTAAAATAAAACTTTCATCGTGTTCAATCGAAAAAAAAAATGGAATAGTCATTACAATAAATAAATAAATAAATAGGCAAAAAAAAAATGGTGACTTATAGAAAGGGTGATTCTGATGTCCTGCTCATTTAGGACACGAAGCGCAAATTGGTGCGCTTTCGTCCGCCGAATTCGCCAAAGTTGCGACGCACAGCCTGAAGAACAGCCTGCTTAGCCACTGGATCGACTTGGGATTCTACAGAAGATTCCGAACTGGGATTAACCTCGGATTGGCGACCCAGGATATTCCAGAAGGGACGAGGCGTCGTCGTTGTCACTGGATCTTTGTTGATGTAAATGCAGTTGATGATGGGCTCATCACCGTAGAATTGACGGTTCTTGTTGCGAATTCTTCGGCGCTTTTGTTGTTGCTGGCGGCGTCTCTTTTGTTGTTGTTGCTGGCGACGGCGCTTCTGCTGCTGCTGCTGCGTTTCGCGACGACGTTGCGACTGCTGCTGCTGCTGCGGACGACGACGATAGCCTCCAATGGAGGAGCTACTGGAAGAACCAGAAGAATTGCTGCTAGGACGACGACGACGCTTGTTGGTGCTGGAAATGCTGCTGCTAGACTGCTTCTTCTTTTTCTTGGTCTTGCGCTGGCTAACACTGCTACTGCTACTGCTGCTGCTGCTAGGCTTCTTCTTCTTCTTTTTCTTCTGATCTGTAGAATTGCTGCTTAAAGAACTGGTCAAAGAAACACTGTTGCTGCCAGAAGAAGAAGCGATAGCAACTGTTGCAGTAGAATCCATGGCCACTGGCTTCTTGATCACATCCACGGGGGTAAGTTGCTCCATCTCCTGCTGATTCTTCTCAGGCTTCTTCTTCTTTTGATCCTTATCCTGCTTCTTCTTTTGATCTTTATCCTGCTGCTGCGGCTGCTTCTTCTTTTTCGTAGACAGCTCTTCAACATCTTCAGCCTCTTGCTTGCGTTTCTTTTGCTGTTGACGTCTCTTTTGCTGATTCTTCTGGTTCTTGTTCTTGTTCTTGTTCTTCTGATTCTTCTTGTTCTTGTTCTTCTGATTGGGTCGCTTGTTGACAACAGGACGAATATCGCCATCGTCCTCTTCACCGGTGGCCCAACTAGCAATCGTGGTAACTGGCTGATCCTCGGAGATAATCTCCTCTTCGTAAACGCCCAGACCATGGAAATCAGCGGGATGGTCCCTATAGTAACCATTGCCATAGTAGAAATCATCGAAGTCCTCTTCCTCGTCGTAATCATCATCCCCATCGTAATCATCTTCGGGATGATGGTCAACCACCTCCCAGGGCTGGACGAAGGGATAGAAGCTAACACCCGCCGAGTGTTCGGCATCCGATTGAATGGGTTTCAACTCGAAGACGGCATGGGTATCGGGATTCACTTTGGGAGGTTGGTGCGACTGAACCACCACAATGCCAGCATCTTCGGCCACATTGGCATGACTGGCCGCATTGGCGACCACACTGACTCCCTGATTGAGATGGGCAGCACTCACTGCCTGATTGAGATGGGCCGCACTGGTTTGACTTTGCAAGGGCAAGGCCAAGGCAGCCGGCACAAAGTTGGACTGCGATTTCGAGGACTGCGCTGCCAAATTGTGCTCATCATCATCAACTTCCTCTTCCTCCTCGTCGTCGATGTCGTCTTGATCATCATTGTCATTGGGCAGCAGAGACTCCAAATGCACGCCCGTCAGGGCCACATAACGCTTATTGCTATTCTCCACCTCCTGCAGAACAGATCCTCCCTCACGATGCTCCTTCAGGGGCAGGCTCTCCACCTTCAGGGGCTGCGAACTAACCGATACACTTGCCCCAGCCTGGAGGGCACGACCCGAACGCTTCCTCCTCGTGACCACACACTGCGACTGGCTGCCATCGCCACTCAGTTGACGACCCTGGATGTAGAATCGCTTCAGCTCGTACTCATCACCGTTCTCGTCCACCTCGATCATGGACTCAGTGGAGACCCTGGCGACCAGGAGGCACATCCATAAGGCCAGCAAAGCCCAGACACAGCGGTTCCTCATCTTGGCCAAAACTGAGCTAGCCGGCGATCGGCAACCGGCTTATATTAGCTCGCTCGCTTGCTCGCCGGACCTATTGACCCACGGCTAATTGCCAAAAAGAAACGTAGTCTATATGGTCAGATCAGCCAGTTCACGAAAATACCAAAACCAAAAACAAAACGGTTTCCTACGAACCCGAGGGCACTGAATTATTCATCAGCAACGTCCCAGCATCTTAGTAACTCGGCTTCTTTGGGCTTTCTTCCCAGAACCCGTTTTATTAATATTTTATTTTTTTTGGCGTTGGCTTTCTGTCGGGGTCAATGGATTGACCGATCATTAATAACCCCGCTCCGATGAAAGTTTCTGCCAAAAGGGCCCTTTGTGGGTCATCTAGGTTGGGATCGATTCGCACGGATAAAAATTCAGCAGAACTAAGTATCTTCTAATAAGCTTATTAACAATTTTTTTCTATAATAATTAACTACATTTTATGATGGTAAATTAATCCCTTAATGGGGAATTAATTTGTAAAATTATAATTATTATTAAGATTAATGATAGCACTTAACAATTTAAAGTTTTTATAAGAAATCAAACTATTCAACTAAAAAGTTAAATTGCCATAGTTTTTTTCTCTGTGCATGATTCATAGCCCTTTTTGGAAGTGGAAAGTTGAACACTGGGCTCGTGTTGAATTCCGCTTATACTTCGGCGTTTTTAAAAATAGATCTGGCTATTCTATTGACTAAATTTAAACCCTAGAAATATCTGTTTACAATTGAGATGCGTTTAAAGATTTATTTTACGCAACAGATGATTTATCCAAAAAATAGAGATCAAAAAACGAACAAAGGACGTTGGGTTTGGCATTTCTAGATATTCCACAACAAAAGGTTAACTTACACGTGGTGCAAAAGTTCAGACTTACAACTGAAGAACTAGGATCTGAAATACTAAGCACCCTATTTTCCTATAAAAATATATTTAAATATATTTCCAAATAATTCATATGCATTCATTTTGAAAGAAAATTGAAATTTTGAAATTCCAACCAACCAATTTTAAAGTACCCCATTTTTTTTGCAAAATTAGAGTATAGAAAGCGAAATTGACCTTTGACGGAAGGCTGAATAAAAAACCCCAAAGAAAGAGCGATGGAAAAAAGTAGATTTCTTAGCGGGATTAAAGTTTCTACGACGCTGAGTCAAAAACGAAATTAATTTACTGAATTCGCTTTTGGTTCGATTGGTGATTATGAAAGGCCCGAAAAATAAAAAGAGACATTTAGCGAAATGGCCAACAAAAGCCAATAAACATTCCAAATCACAGTTTGACCCGCGGTGTTCTTTTCTTGTTTTAAGCCCCTTTTTTTTTTTAGATAAACTTAAGTCAGTTGGACTAAGCCAAAAAGCATTTTCGACGGGGACATCGTTTGGAGCTGCGACCATTTATTGTCCACTCTGTGTGAATGCTAATGAAGCATCGTAAATTTCCAGGGCCAAGAGGAGCCCCGGGCGAAAATAGTTGGGTGTGATCCAGGTTCGCTGAAGAATCCAAGATGGGTTGATGGTTTGCTTTTGGATCAGCAAAACAGCTCGCAGTTGTAATACCCTCTCCAGAAAACGACATTTTTTGTTAATTTATTAAATAATAAAATTAGTATAAAAATCATTGCAATACTTACAAATAATGTAAGTTAAAGTAATTCGGAATTTATAATCTTTTTAATGATCTTTCTTTTATAAATAAATATATATTAAAATTCTAAGAATATAACTTTTTTAATTGAATTGCATAGAAAAGTATTCGTAATACTCCAGGATTTTTAAGAGGCAATGGCTATTTTTGCAGAGCATAAATAAAGACCTGGCCAGAAATCAATTGCCTGAAAAAAGAGATGTGGTTAACCGTGGAGATAAATAAGCCTTGCTCTTGTGCATAGCAATTGCTGAGCCTGCAGCAGCCTCTATTTGTATGTGACGCACGTTACCCAAGCAGCAACATCAACATCTACATCAACATCAACGAGCAACACCAGCAGCAGCAACAGTAGCAGTAACAAGTAACAACACACCTTGTTCTTGTTCTGAGTTCTGATATCAAGTGCTGATTACACACCCAGACAAACGGAAAAGAAACCAAACGAAGAAGTCGTCGTCGAGTTCACCAAACGATATTAGGTGGGAATTTGTTTCGATTTTGTAGTCTTTATTTTTATCACAATCAGCCTCACGGCCCGTAATCTGTCATCGACCCATTTCAGGCGAGACATCAACTCTACTCTTTATACTATATACTATATATATACATAGTCCGATCGTATCGGAGTAAGGTAGAGTCCAGTCGATAGAATTGTCCATTGTCGAAATGCTACACGAATCTTGATTGTTTACAGTGGCTGAGGCAAGTTGGTCAACACTTAATGGACCTGGCAAAAAATTGGGCATTTAGAAAAGCCAATAAGAATTCATAGAATAATACAAATATTTTGTAAGTTCAAATAAATGCAAATATGATTTTTTTTAATTTTATTTTTTAAATGTTTACAATAAAAGGATTGATAAATAGGAATGTCCGAACTTTTTACTAAGCGATGACCTAAACATTATACTCCCGATGTGAATTTTACTATTTGTATGCTATTTATTTAATTTAAAAAAATTAAATATAATTATATTAATAATTTTAGTGAGCATTTTTTAAAGCACTTTTAAACAAATCATCTTTTAAAAAAATCACTTTAGCTGCTAAAATATATTTACATAATTGTATTCTCATTGAATATTTTTAAGTGAGCTAGTTGAACACATCTCACCGTCAGTGTGTAAAGATTCCGCACCCAAAATACGCCTACGCAATTCCCCAGTTCTGGCCCACCTGCAATATATACATACAAATAAAATCGTCCGATCTGAGCGATCGTATAAAAATTGACGCACGAAGCAAGAAAGTGCGTATACGCAATTAGAATTCCATTAACTAATTTCTTCTCATTTGCATGGCGCACTTTCTAAGTGCATAAGTGCCGAAAAAAAACAGCATCTTGCCGGTGTAATAGCAATAAATAAAGAACTTTCATTGACATTTCATTCAAATAAAGGGTCTAAATAAAAGGGGAAATGAAGAGCAGGGAAGAACAGCAGTTTGTATTTACCATGAATTTTGGATTTGGATTTTTTTTTTCATTTTTTGGTTGTCGCTTTCGTGGCGAGCACCCATGGAATTTATAATTAATTCGTGCATTAAATTTTCGAGCATATTATATTTGGTTATTGTTTTTTGCCTTTTGCCGCACAAATCAATAAGTTATATGTGAGAGTTTCTGTTAATGAGATGCATGATATCGAGGAATGTGCGCTGACACAAATATGCAAAACGATTTTTGGGCTTACCAATTTCTGGTTTATTGCTACTGCTTATTAGTTGCAACTTGAAAAACGCCCAGCGAAAAGTCAAGAAACTGGTTTTCCCACAAATCACAGCAGCAGACCAATCCCAGTGCATCTTGCACAAATGTGTTCTCTGTATCTCGAGATGCAGTTGCAGTTGCAGTGGATCAACAAAATGGCGGGGCCCAAAAGAAATCACCATCATGGAGTAAAAACCGATTAATCCTCCTTTCGGGGTGACCTATTAAAAGAGAAGTGCCCAAATTTATCATCATCATCAATTTACAATTTACCATCGCTTAAGTAAGTATTCTCAGCACGTGTGCCTTATTTATTTTAATTTTAGGCTGTTTTTTACAACACCCAAAGATAAAAGCCCAAATGAAATTTTAAACTGGTTCAGATTTGCACAAACTACAGTGTTTAAATATTTAACTTTCATTTTTTGATTAGATATTCATTTTAGATAAATAAGGAAAATACACTTATTACTAAAAAATTTCGAATACAAGAATAACACTTTAAAGAACACAATATTTCACCATCTTAATTGCTTAAAGAAAAAAAAGATATAATATTCTATTTTCTATTGCACAGAGAAATGTTAAAATGAAACAAATTGAAAAGTTAATCAAAATAAGTTAAAAATTAATAAAAGCTTTAGTACATAAGGTAGGCTTGTCAAAATCTAAAACATATATCAACCAAAATAAATTGTTTCCCAACAATAACAAAATAAATTGTAGAGTAAGATAAACGAATAAATCTTTTTGAATTTTCCGCCTTACTTCAAACGGTTATAGAAGCGATTAACCGCTGATGTGGCTACAAGCAACAATCGACAGCCATTTCTGTAGTGTTGGAAAACGTCTACAGTTATCGGTTATCAGTAGGTAGTCCGCCCGCGCAGACCTTGCAACACTGCTAGTCCGGCACTGTGCAGCACTAAATTATAAGTGCAAAAATTCGCAGTAGGAAATTTATAGCCAACGTGATTAAATTAAGCCCATTTTCGTGGGAATTAACGATCGTAAAGGCCGTAGATATAAATACTATCTATAGGAGACACTAGAGAGTGTCTTTCGCAAGAGCCCAGGAAACGCCGAGGATCGCCCCATAGATCATCATGCCACGAGGAAAGTTCGTCAACCACAAGGGTCGCAGTCGCCATTTCACATCGCCCGAGGAATTGCAGCAGGAATCGGAGGAGGACAGCGATCAGACCAGTGGCTCCGGCTCCGAATCCGATGGCAAGGGAGGGGCCAGTGGTTCCAAGCCGAAGGTGCCGGCGCCCAGGAAACCTCCAGCCGGAAATCGACAGAAAGCCAGATCTTCTGCCGGAGCAGGTGCCGTCAGCAGCTCGGAATCGGAATCCGAGGAGGACTCGGAGGATGACTCCGATCTGGAATCGCGCGACGCCAAGAAGGGCGTGGCCTCACTCATCGAGATCGAGAATCCCAACCGGGTAACCAAGAAGGCCACCCAAAAGCTATCGGCCATCAAACTGGACGATGGTCCCGGCTCGGAAGGCGGCAAAGGTGGTGCCCCTAAGCCGGAGCTCTCCCGCCGCGAAAGGGAGCAGATTGAGAAACAGAAAGCCCGCCAGCGATACGAGAAGCTCCATGCCGCTGGAAAAACCACCGAGGCAAAGGCCGATCTGGCCAGACTGGCACTAATCCGGCAGCAGCGCGAGGAGGCGGCCGCCAAGAGGGAGGCGGAGAAGAAGGCAGCCGATGTGGGCACCAAAAAACCAGGTGCCAAGTAATGTCCTCCATTTCCTGCTCCTCCTCCTTTCCCGAACACCCAGTCCCCTCCAACAGAAAACACAGAGCTCTCAATCCCGAAGAAAACAAACAAACAAACAAAAACAAACAGGGCTAAATGGCAATTAGTTAAACTTAAATTAACCAATGCTTCAAGTTTTCTAAGCCTCTCTTTTGTAACTGCAAACTAAACAAAAAAAAGAATATTATAATAATAAACCGACTTATTATAAACGAGCGACTGTCGCTGGGGTGATGAACCCAGAATCTGGGCGGAGATAATCCAGGCGTAATCTTGGATGCTTTTGAGGGGTATATATTGTACATTCTCCGGTGCATTTCAATCTTGCAAGCTAAGTATTCTCAAGATTTTTAGTATGGCCAACAATAAAGAGTACAAAATAAACATCAATATATGGCTGAAATATCATTCTTGTTAAGTTGACATAATTAATTAACAAAATTAAAAAATCAGATAAGCATAATCCAAATATTTTCGTTAAATTTTCTAGAGCTGATATATATGTTATACCATTTTTGAGAACCTTTCTTTATAACAAGATCCTTTAATTAATGTACATTGAATCACATGCTCAAGAATTGAAATCGAAGTTTGTGGGCTTGGAAATTCCACCAAATTTAATGCGTATTAAAAAAAGAAAGATGTAGACTAACTATTTGCTATGACTAATCTAATTAAACAATAAACATTAGTGCTAGACCACGCCCCAGACCTCCTCAAAGGCGGAGCAGAGTTTGGAGCACGCGATGGCCGCCGAAAGTGGATAGTTGCTGATGGAGAAGAGCTCCTCCGTGTAGTCCGTCTTCAGGACGCCATGGGCAAAGGCTCCGATGACAATGACCACGGGTTCGTCATATGTGGCACTGCCCTCCTCGCCATGTGGCACCAAATCTCTGCAGTTGGCCACCAACTTGCCGGAGAAGCTCATGGCATACTTTTTGCATCCGACGGGCACATGATCCGTGATTGGATTCTTGATCACACTCATCAATCTGCGCGACGAGTCATTCGCTCTGATCTGAAACTTGTGCAACAGTTGGACCATCAATCCCGCGAAGCGTTTAAAGGTTCTCGGAATACGGGTCTGTGGATTGATTTCGATCAGGACATTGTGCTCCGTGCGCACGAAAACCTGGAGAAGACCGGCTCGATTTAGTGGGGAATCGAAGAGCATCAAGAGGCATTGGTGGGTTATGTCCGGACGGCAGGATCCCGGATCCCTTTGGTTCTTGCGCATAATGCCCGCATGATCGTCGCAATTCAGCAGCTCAAAGGTGTTGTGTACCTTTTGGATAGATAATATAAAAGGATTGTGATTAGGTTTTCCTTTCTTTATAAGTTATGGTGAACCCACCTTAACTGTCTCCAGTTGGGCTCCCTCCAAAACGATAATCAGCCGCTTTTCGCTGGCATTCAAATGGAGCACCTTGAACTGCTTCTTGTCCAGATCGAATTCCGGATCATCCGCCTTGCGGCCCACAAATTTCCGCTTCCGGTTGATCGCCTTGCCCTGGCCGCCCATTTTGTCTAGTTTTTGGATATATCAACAGGATACGATTCCCAAAAAAAGTCAAAAAAAAATCCGCACGTTTTTTCGAAATGCACAGGTTTAGTATGACCGTATCGGATGTGCTCTTAAATACCTAGAACAAAATATACCAAATACATTTCTGTTGTTTTGAAATATTCTATACCAAAAACTCGATTAAAAATTTTATTTGCTTTATTTGTTGTTATTATTTATATTATAATTCGTTTCCAAATATATATAATTATATTTTTAAGGAATTTTTCTTAAAATCTAACCAGACAAAAATCGCTACATATGTAATTTATTATTTCCTTAATTTTCTGGGTCATATAATCATGAAATGAATTTAAAGTAAAAATGAAGTATAAATTAATACTTGTCTTAAATTATGTTGTTTGTTTTTGATTAAATTTCGTAATAAGTTAAATGTAGCTATAATCACGATTATCGTTATCAATCCCTTTTCGATATACCTTTGTGCACAATGCCATCGCGGTTATCGATAAACCCGCCAATCGTTTCTGGCAAAAAAAGAAGCATCGCGTTTTTTGGTGAAAATTGTCACAAAAGTGTTTCGAAAGTTGGCACCGAATCAGAAGATCCCGATAGACGACCAGAAGAAGCGGCAAGGACTTCCAGCCACCTGAATCCTCGTCAGGATACCGAGTAAAGTCCACATCAGTAGGTGTCCCCATTTGCCGGTGGCCAACAAAAACGCTCTGCCGCGTTTTGAGCTATCAATTGAAATTGGAGCAGAAGTTTGCCACAAATCCCCGGAACGATGAGTCGCAGGAGAGCCCATGATACGGAGGACGAGGGATATGGTAAGTGGGGAGCAGTATGGCCTAAAACAGATAATTGATTTGCCGGCGAATCCCTTCCAGATCACCGGCGCAACAAGCGCAGGCGTGTGTCCGAGAACCAGGAAATCGAGGATCGCTTGGAGTCGCTCATTCTGCGCGTGGGTGAACGGAGCACCTCCTCCGTGGAGTCCAACCTGGAGGGACTCGTCTCGGTGCTGGAGGCCGATCTGGGCACCTTTCGCCTGAAGATCCTGCGCATCCTGTCCGATTGCGCGGTGCGAATGCCCGAAAAGTGCACCGTGTACACGACGCTGGTGGGTCTGCTCAACGCCAAGAACTACAAGTTTGGCGGCGAGTTCGTGGACCACATGGTGAAGACGTTCAAGGAGTCCCTGAAGCTGTGCCGCTGGGATGCGGCCCGCTACTCGCTGCGCTTCCTCGCCGACCTGGTCAACTGCCACGTCATCTCGGCCACCAGTCTGCTCCAGCTGCTGGACACCATGATCGATGTCTCCAACGAGGACACAGTGCCGCAGGTGCGCCGCGATTGGTTCGTCTTTGCCGTGCTGTCCACGCTGCCCTGGGTGGGTCGTGATCTCTACGAGAAGAAGGAGTCGGCCCTAGAGTCGCTGCTCCTGCGCATCGAGGTCTACCTGAACAAACGTTCCAAGAAGCATCACAATGCGCTGCGAGTGTGGTCCTCGGATGCGCCACATCCGCAGGAGGAGTACCTGGACTGCCTGTGGGCGCAGATACGCAAGCTGCGCCAGGACAACTGGGCAGAGAAGCATATACCTCGTCCTTACCTCGTCTTCGATTCCATCCTTTGCGAGGCACTGCAACACAATCTGCCGGCGATTGTGCCGCCGCCGCACCACGATAATTTCGAGTACCCAATGCCCTGGGTGGTGTACCGCATGTTCGACTACACCGACTGCCCCGATGGGCCCAATCTGCCCGGTGCCCATTCCATCGAGCGCTTCCTGATCGAGGAGCATCTGCATCATATTATCGAGACGTACCATCACGAGCGCAAGGACTGCGCCGCCCAGTTGCTCAGCTTTCCGTTCAAGCACAAGATCCCGCTGGAGTACTGCATCGTCGAGGTGATCTTCGCCGAGCTGTTCCACATGCCCACGCCGCGCTACCTGGACATCTGCTACGGCTCCATCCTCATCGAGCTGTGCAAGCTGCAGCCGGCCACGCTGCCCCAGGTGCTGGCCCAGGCCACCGAGATCCTGTTCATGCGCATCGACTCGATGAACACGTCCTGCTTCGACCGCTTCGTCAACTGGTTCTCCTACCATCTAAGCAACTTCAAGTTCACCTGGTCCTGGGACGAGTGGGACAGCTGTCTGCTGCTCGACGGCGAGCATCCGCGCCCCAAGTTCATCCAGGAGGTGCTGCAGAAGTGCCTGCGGTAGGTTTATTTCCTTCTTTTTTTATGTGCCGCTACAGGTGGTCGATTGAAGTACAAAACTAGCAAAGCAATGTGAAATTCTAGATGTCTTTTTCCTTGTAGGTCTGTAAAATTAAACCTATCTTTAGATCTATTAACTATTTTCTTGAAGTTCAAAACCCTATTTGACTAAGTAAAGTTTACTGTAGCTAAAATAAGAAAAATGAGATTAGATAAACATTTAAAAGTATTAAGCAATATTTAAATGCGAGCACGTTAATTGTAAGCTTGAAAGCATATTCATTTCTTAAAGTTTAAATTTTTTATGGATCTTTCTTTTTTCTTTCAAAGTAAAATGTTGATGTATAAAGAAAATTTAGCTATAAAATTAATAATGATTACATTTTTAAAGGTAGTTTTTTTAGAATTTATTGTATGCTAATATAGAAAAGATCGAAAGCATTGATTTTATTAACTTATTTTTCTGTTAAAGCCTTAAAAGTAATAGTATATTTGTGTTATTCAAATAGCTTTGATAGTTTTTAGATTAAAACTCCATCAAATATAAATATATCCCCCATGCTAATACTGCTCTTATGTCCGGCAGCCTTTCGTACCATCAGCGCATTACCGAGATGATGCCCACAACGTACGCCAAGCTGATTCCCATGACGCCCGTGCCCAACTACAAGTACGCCAACGAGGAGGCAGGTGAGTCCTACGGATTGATAGCGTTTATTTGTTGGGGATTATCTCTGCTTACGACTAGGCTTACACATAAGAGTATGTTTCAAGAGTGGGCTGTTAGTGATTAGTTGGTACTGGCTTCACCTCGTTCTCCTCGTCGTCCACAAAGATGGGTATCTCCTCGCCGTTTTCGCCCACCTTGATGCTTACGGATCGGCTGACCGACTTCTGGGTCAGCACCTCCACCACTTCCTTGGGCGGAGGAGGTGGAGGAGGAGCTACAGGTGCTGCCGGTGGCGCAGTAGATTGTGTAGTGGTAGTTGTAGGCTTTTGTGTAGTAGTAGTAGTAGTAGTAGTGGTAGAAGTGGTAGTAGTACTGGTGGTGCTGCTCGAGGTGGTGGTGCTGACGAAGGCCTCATGCCGCAGACTGCTCTTGCCCTTGCTGTCGTGCTCCTTGCGCCGCTTGGCCCACTTGCTGAGCGGTGGCTCCGTGCTGGTGGAGGTGGTGGTAGTGGTGGACCGACCTGCCGTGATCTTGGGCGTGGTCCGATAGCGACTTATGGAGCGCAGGGGACTGAAGTGCGTCGAGGTGGACACGAAACTGGAGCTACTGGTCGTGGGGCTGGCATGTGTGGTCGTGGTTGCAACGGTGGTTGTGGGAATTGTGGCTGCCGGGGTCGTAGGTGCTGCAGTTGTGCTGTTGCCCTCCAAGTCCAAGTCAGCATCCTGGAGATTACTCTCCTGCTCCTGCTCCTGCTGCTGATTCTGATGCTGCCCCCCTTCGATCTTCTC